CGGGAGAGCAGAGGTGGATCTGTTCGCCAGCCGGCACAACAGCCACTGTGCCCTGTGGTTCTCCATGGCTCTGAGTGACGATCCGCCCTTGGGGGTGGACGCGTTTGCACACGAGCCATGGCCAAGGAAGCTGCTCTACGCCTTTCCACCGCTGCGTCTCATTCTCCCTCTCCTGGGGAGAGTGAGGCGAGAATGTCTGGCATTCATCCTAGTAGCGCCGGATCGCGTCGGGGCACCGTGGTACTCAGGGATGACACAGATGAAGGTGGGCCAGCCCTGGGCGGTTCCCCAGTTCTGGGGGGCGATCTCTCAAGAGGCAGGTGCAATCGGGGCGTTACCCACTCTGGGCGGTCCTCTCCAGGCTTGGCTCCTTAGAGGGACAGGCTGAGACAGGGTGGATTGTCTGACAGTGTTATTCAGTCTATCCAGGCAGCTAGAGCTGGATCCACCACAGCCTGTTACAGGCCGAAGTGGCTGGGATTCCAGCGATGGTGTGAGGAGCGGAGAATAGAGCCCCTATCTTGTGAGTTGGGCTCTATTTTGTCCTACTTACAGTTACTGGTGGACAGAGGGCTTGCGCATTACACAGTGAAAGTGTATGCAGCAGCCATCTCGTCCTGTTCAGTCAGCCACTAATGTTGCGGTTTTTACAGGGGGTCAGGAGGCTGCGCCCAGTAGTGCGCGCCTCCACCCCGCAGTGGGACCTGCCGCTGGTGCTCGAGGCTCTGTCACAGAACCATTTGAGCCTCTGGAGCTCTCCTCCCTGAAAGCACTGTCGTGGAAGACAGCATTGCTACTTGCCTTAACGTCAGCCAAGAGAGTGTCCAAGTTAACCGCTCTATCGGTGCACCCGAGTTGCTTGTTGATCCGAGGTGACCAGAGCGGGGCGACACTCAGACCGAACCCCTCCTTTGTGCCCAAGAGCCTAAGGAGTGCGTTCAGGTCGAGGGCTATTCAGTTGGGGGGCTTTAGTCTTCCACCCCATAGTGGGGCCAGGGAGGCTAAATTGTACCTCCATTGCCCAGTGCGTGCGCTAGCATGTTATGTAGAGCGCACGGCTGCCCTTAGATGCACTGAACAGCTGTTTGTGTGCTTCGGGGGCGGCGTGGCCGGTAAAGCTCTGTCCAAGAAGCGCCTGGCAGGATGGCTCGGCGAGTGCATCTCACATGCCTACGGACAGGTGGGGAGAGCCTTCCTCACGGGGGTCCGTGCACACTCTACACGGGCTGTGGCTGTGTCAACAGCCTTATTTAACGGCGTGAGTGTGGAGGACATATTGAAGAATTAAAATAACGTGTTATAGCAGGAAGTTTAATACAGTGTAATTCTGGTTTATACATTTTTATGTCACCTGATATATAGGATGTTAAGTGTTAGTTAATGAGAGAAATGTATGTGCGTTCATTTCCTGCAAGACTCCTAAAGAGCATGAGACGATTGGGTCACACACAATTAGAGAGACAATGGCCCTTCTGATTCTGGGTGAGCTGACTTCGGGTTGAAGGAAGTTCAGAGATGGCCTGAGGGTATGAGGACAGTTAATCTTTGTTGGTTAGCTGGTCCTGGGGAGCAGTGTGCGAACTATACCACGGTCTCCGGGGGAGCCGGGATTTATTTATTTTTTTGCGGTGGGGGTGTGGGTAAATGCTGATCAGTGCATTAATAGCAACAGCACAGACATAGGCCTATTATAAAGATAACATCTGTTGCACACGGGGTGGTGCCACAGGTCTACATTTACATGAAACGTCCCGATGGATCATGTTCATGTCAACAGATTTCCCGACCATGTATGGGCTACGCAAACTTCAATCATCAAGTTAGCTTCTCTTGGCTCGTCTTCTTGTGTCTCTTCAGCCCCCAAGTTAACGTTAGCTGTCAAGTTAGCACTAGCACTGACGTTAGCTCCCTCCTCTCTCGGTTCTGTTGTAGCAGCAGTCACAACGTATGATGTGCTACCACCAGCTACATTCGGTTGGTCTTCTTGATCAGGTTGTTTGGCCGTCTTTTTAAAGAAATTGCCCAAGATAAGTTGTTTTTTTCTTTTCGACATGTCAGCAGCAGCAACAATGCCTGGTAAACATGCAGTGCTAACTAAACGAGCTTGTGAGTGATAGAGTAGTGGGTGGAGCTGCGGGCAGCGTGCAAGCAGGCGACACTTTTTTCATGAATCATAAACTCTAAATATAATTTAATTTCACTTATTTTACACCTTTGAAAAAAAAAACATGCCCAAAATTGAATTGATTTGGTCATCATATTAGTATTTTAGAAAGCTCCCCCCAAATTTCACAAACCATGTTCCCAGGGGAGCTCATGTCACCACTAGGGGAGCTATAGCTCCCCCTGCTCCCCTCCAGTTCGCACCCTGCTGGGGAGGTCATGATGATGACTGTTAAACCCCAACAAGTATGGCTCTCATAAAGAAAAACATGTGACATTTGTGTGGTGAGCTGGAGGACAATATGTGTGTGCGTCAAACATGCATAGGGAGGATGTGTGTGTTTATTGTAGTAGCTATGTATGATTACTGCTCAACTATACCGGTGTTTGTGTTTTATTGATTTCTATCTATTTTTTCATGTTATAAGTACTAAATTGCCACCACATTTTTGAATAGTTGGTTTAAACAGATGTGTGTGTTGAAGATGTTTAGGGGGAATGTGTGTGCGTTCTGTTAAAGAGTCCTCTGTCTGTGAAATGATATGACTCCAAAGCATAACAAGGGGGACTGCCTGAGGGTAAACACACACACACACACACACACACACACACACACACACACACACACACACACACACACACACACACACACACACACACACACACACACACACACACACACACACACACACCACACACACACACACACACACACACACACACACACACACACACACACACACACACACACACACACACACACACACACACACACACACACACACACACACACACACACACACACACACACACACACACACACACACACACACACACACACACACACACACACACACACACACACACACACACACACACACACACACACACACACACTGTAAGGAGATGGAATCAACAAACTGCTGACTCATTGCCTAGGGTTCGCCCAGAAGTGAAACTTGCCAATGGAGAACTGCCAACTCGCCCAGACAGAAGTGAACTCGCCAATAACAAACAGCTAGGGAGGATGAACCGACACAACTCCTCCCCGCTTATGTGTATAAATACTGTAACATTCTTATGCTCTGTGCTCTCTTCCTGACTGGCTGTCGTGGTACGTTTATCACACGGTGATAGGAATTGAGCCCGGAGTACTGTTGCAGAGTGCTCTGTATGGTGTATTGTTATTTTCTACCATTAAAACAGATTATTGTTGAAAATTGTATCCTGGTGCTTTTAAATTCCTTCCTTTTATGATTTAAAACCAACTCATCAAAAGGACACGCGGAGCCGAGGTGGGATTCAGACCACTCGCATCTCCAACAATATGCACGGCGGCGTCTTGGTCAACACCAGGTCCCTTCATAAGGTTTTATCTTTTGGACATGTCTGGCTCCTTTTCATCGTCTGTGCTTGCTGGGGCAACACAGGACTGGTGAGGAGGGAGGGGGGCTGTGGGTCAGTGGGTATCTGACCCCCTCCCCGGACGTAATGCGCTTACGTTTTTCCCGGGCCCTGATCCCAGGGGACGTGGCGCGCACTGGGCCCATACAGGACTGGAGGACTCTTTCCCCCTGCTTAGGGCAGGAGGGGAGAGTCCTCCACATTATAGTCCATACACACTCTTCACCGGGTGAGCGTGTCTGAGTGTGGGGGACATGGGGCACTTGCGCTCTCCCCGTGCTACTTAGGGACTCGGGAGAGGCGGTGCACAGTGAGCCCATACGGGGCTGAGGACTCTCTCCGTCCGCCTATGGGCCGAGGGGGGGAGCCCTCAGCCCTGTTTTCCGAGCACACTTTTCGCGAGGTAAGCGCGTCAGAGTGTGCTCTGTCAGCCGCGGCCCAGTCTTCTCCACGGTCACAACCGAGGTAAAGGAGGGTGCGGCTGCTATTCAGAAAGCCGGTCAGGGGCAATGGAGTGGAACAATGTTGTTGGATGACAGCGCGTGTACACATTGCCTTTGAGAGATATAACGAGGGGTTACGTATGGTAACCCATGTTATATAAGCACAGGTGGAGCCCTCTACTCGGGGCCCTATCTGTCCTATGCTGCTCGCTGAAGAGAAGTGTAGGATGACGGGAATGGGAGGCGTGGCCGCCTTATATACAGTGGGCTTGTGCACGCATTCAGGTAGGCCGGCCCCGGGGGCCGGCTACGGTTATAGATATCTCAGTTGATGAATGCTCGCATAGTATGGTTGAGAGGTAGTACCCAGAGTCCAGTAGAGGGTTCCGCCTGTGCTTATATAACAAGGGTTACCATACGTAACCCCTCGTTTTTGATAATATTTTGTTTTAAGACCAGATGTTAGTCACCTTGCAGGCTTCAGTTTTTCAGCATTATCTTCCTGAGGTGGCTTATATAGCAATAACTTACTGACTAGATGTAATGTGACAAGGGTTGCTGGTAGTCATGAACCAACAGAGAATATTCACAATTTCTTCAGCTTTCAGAGATTTTACTATATTTTAGCTAATTGTTTTGGTTTGAGGACATTTATATAACAGATGCATCCATTAGGGCAGTGCTTCTCAAAGTGTGGGGCGCGCCCCCACTTATTTTTTGAAAGTAGCTCTCATCCTAAAAAAGGTTGGAGACCCCTGTTATAGAACGATACATTTGACAATTTTAAGCTTGGCCTACCATTTTATTGGAGCGATGAGGAACAGGTGGGGCTTGCAAAGGCCCACCTGTTCAAAGTGGGGAATGACAGAAAAAGGTTGAGAACCACTGCTTTAGGGGATACTCCTTTTACACGACATGGTGTTTGGTTACACAAATGAAAATAATGTTATTTTTATACTGTTATAATGGTCTGTAACATTATTGGCTTACCTGCGGCAGACAATTATGAAGACAGTGATGGCAATGATGAAGACGACCCCTGCAGCAGCAGAACCGATGATGAGGGGGAGCTTCTCCTGGATACTGGTGTTATATTCCTCTACAGGTTAAAAATATGGATGTTATCCAAGGTTGGATAACCTATTTGGACGCACAAGATGTATTCATACAGTATTTACAGAATCTAGTTATTCAGTGGATCTAACTGTCATTCCTACCTTCAGTCATGGTTTGGAAGTACATTTTGCCACTAAAACTACCAAATCCAGCGACAGTCCGGGCCCTAACCTGAAACACGTAGATAGTTCCAGCTTTCAAGCTCCGTACGACTGCAGTGTTGGTCTGACTCCTCGTCAGAGAGGAGTTCAACTCTGCCTGGTTCTGAAATACATCATCAGAAATTCAAAAATGTAGATTATAAACAGAAATATGCTGTATAATTACTTTGATTAAATTACTACAGCAGTAAGATTGTCTCTGTCATGATGTCTGAATGAGCCATTTTGGGAAAGACTGATGTAGCCTGTCTCTTTTATTTTGTAACTAACATCAGCAGCATTGATGCACCTTCTCATAGTACTGCAGTTCATAGTCCAGGATCACTCCGTTGGGCTGGTCCGGCTGTGACCAGGACAGGGTGATGCTGTCCGGGGCTCTGCTGACCTGGTGGATGATGGACACTGCCGATGGGGCTGAGACAGGAATAACGTTAGCTTAAGAAAGAGGCTGTAATGAAACAGAAAGTCTACAGAGACTGCTGACCGATTCATGAACGCCAGAGGTGGGAAGTAACTAAGTACATTTACTAGTAAAATGTTTGGCTACCTGTACTTTAATTGAGTATTACCATTTTATGCTACTTTATACTTCTACTCCACTATATTTCAGAGGGAAATCAAGTAATTGTACTCCACTACATTTATTTAACAGCTTTAGATACTTAAATTCCATCTCTAAAAACGTCTAAACTAGTGGATTAACTCTTGAAGTCACAAAAGAGTCAAATTATTAAAATATAATGTCAATCTGAACTGTGTTTGTCTACAACAGTAAAAATGCTACAGTACGTGACGTGATGCTACAATATTATCTAGAAATGTCACATGTATAAATGTAATTATAAACACACAAAGGAATTTTCTGCCCAATGATTATTTTTACTTTGTATACTTTAATTATATTTTGCTGATGATACTTCTGAAAACTTCTTCCACCACTGATGGTAGTGGTGGAAAATGTCGTCATGTAACCCTGTTTGGCTCACCAGCCTGGTTGGTGGTGATGTTGACGGACGTGTGCTGGGGGGAGTACGGGCTCTGGTCCGACACGCCATTCACAGTCTGTATTTCGAAGGTGTACTGGGTGTGGGCCAGGAGGTCGCTGATGTGGACGCGGCTGTCCGTCAGACCCAGCTGACGTGGGACAAACTGCACATTGTCTCCACAGCGGGTGCAGCCCCCCCGCCCACTGCCACAACTCTTACATATTATGTTGTAGACAACATCTTCTCGGCCACCGCCCTCCTGGGGGGGGCTCCACTCCAGCCTCAGAGAGGTCTCATTCACTATGGAGATCACGTTTTGTGGAGCTGATGGAACAGCTGAAAGAGAATGGGAGAGCAGAGAATATAATAATACAACTGAACTTGAAAAAGGTTTTTTTGTAACTTCTAAAAAATAATTAAAGTTTCTGCATGTTGCTATTACAGTATAGACCAGAGAGATTATCATGCCAATGTTTCTGCAGAACATTGAAAGAGTGGACTAGGCCTTTCCCTAAGAGCTAACTTAGACTAACAGCCTAATGTGTATTATTGTTGCTTCCCTGTGTTTGAATTACATTCAGCGATTTGAGCTGCTGGGTGCAACACTGCTATGAATGTTCTGTCATGACAGTTCGTACTTGTGCAGGGCATCTGTTGAGGGTCGGAGTCGGTGCGGTAATATCCGCTGCGACACACACAGTTAGTTGCTCCTTCGCTGGTGGTCCGGCTGTTGATGGGGCACTGCAGACATGAGAGGACTCCCTGTGCAGCCTTGAAGAAGCCTGATATACAAGCTGTAAGGGAAATATATAGCTGTTAAAGACAAATAGAATGGACAGAAAAAAATGAAATGAGAACAGAAGGTTCAGAACCATTTGCATGGTCAAACGCACAAGAGAAAAAAACAAGTGGACTACATTGTTGATTCTTTATCACATCGACTATTTGCTGCTTAGTATCAGAACCATAGTATTAGTTTTAGTCAGATCCAAAAATAATATGTCTGAGCATTTTATTCCCTGCATACATAACTCTACTACATTACATTGCATTTAGCTGACGCTTTTATCCAAAGCGACTTACAATAAGTGCATTCGACCAAGAAGATACAAACTTGAAGAAAACAGAATCATAAAGTACATCAGGTTTCATAGAGCCAAAACATTTCAAGTGCTACTCAACTGGCTTTAGGTAAGCCAGTCCTTTATTAGTATATAAGTGCTTTGTTAGTAATTGTATTGCTCAAAGTGGAGTCGAAAGAGATGAGTTTTCAGTCTGAGCCGGAAGATGTGTAAGCTATCTGCTGTCCTGATGTCAATGGGGAGCTCATTCCACCATCTTGGAGCCAGGACAGCAAACCCACGTGTTTTTGCTGATGGGAACTTGGGTCCCCCTCGCAGTGCGGGTGCAGCGAGCCGTTTGGCTGATACAGAGCGGAGTGTACGTGCTGGGGTGTATGGTTTAACCATGTCCTTGCAGTGTTGGGCAGGTTACTTCCAAAATGTAATACATTACATATTACTTATTACTGTCTTTTTTAAGTAATAAGTACATTACAATATTACTGTCTCTGAAATGTAATGAGTTACACTACTTTTATATTACTTTTGAGTTACTTTCACCAAAATAACCGCAAAAATAATGGCTAGGTATTTTAAATGCTAAAATGTAGTTTAGTGCAGCAACTGTGTAGGCCCTTAAGGCTACTAACAACTTTTATTACAAGGCTTAGTTGAATACTCGATTCTGATTGGTCAATTCCGTTGCTAAGGAGGATCAAGGAAGAGAAAGTAAAAGAGGGTTAAAGACGGAGCGCTGGACGTCAGATAAATGAACAGAAGAAGACAGTCAAGAAGTAAACACTAACAGGAACACGGTATGGGCTCTGCAGTGTTTAAGGACTTGTTAGTGGATCAGAAACTGTGAACAGAGTTGGACAGTGCTGCCGTAAAGTTGTTGTTCTCGCAGTTCCAGCCGTTGGTGCGCCGTGGAACGGAGTTTTTACGTAAAAACCAGGCTTACTAATCTACCGGCACAATTTTTCTCTGACGTCGGAATGTCGCGCAATGTTAGTGAATTCTTAAAAAACAAAACACCATTTCATTTCGGGTTAAAATTAGTTGTAACTGCGTTACTGTGAATTGTAACGGGTAGTATATTACCCAAATTTCATTAGTAATGCGTTACATTACTTCATTACAGCAAAAAGTAATACATTACTGTAACTCCGTTACTTTTGTAACCTTTGGTGTGGGAACATTTTGGAAGGTTGAAGACCAGACGAGCCGCTGCATTCTGGATGAGCTGCAGAGGTCGGATGGCACATGCAGGTAGACCAGCCAGGAGGGAGTTGCAGTAGTCTAGGCGTGAGATGACGAGAGCCTGGGCCAGAACCTGCGTGGCTTTCTGGGTCAGCTGGGGACGTATCCTCCTGATGTTGTAAAGCGTGTATCTGCAGCAGCGGGTTGTAGCAGCAATGTTTGCAGTGAAGGACAGTTTGTTATCTATGGTCACACCCAGATTCCTTGCAGTCTGAGTCGGGGAAACAATAGAGGTGCCGATGTTGATTGTTAGGTCAAGAGTGGGACAATCTTTTCCCGGAAGGAAAATCAGTTCAGTCTTGTCAAGGTTGAGCTTGAGGTGGTGAGCAGACATCCACTGAGAGATGTCTGCTAGACAGAGATGTGTGCGACGACCTGGGTCTCTGAGCGGGGAAAGGACAGAATTAATTGGGTGTCGTCAGCATAGCAGTGGTATGAAAAACCATGCGGGCTTATGACCGATCCGAGCAAGTTTGTGTACAGGGAGAAGAGGAGGGGACCAAGGACAGAGCCCTGAGGGACCCCTGTAGTTAATTGACAAGGGTTGGACTCTGACCCCCTCCAAGTTACCCTGTAGGTGCGGTCTTTGAGGTATGAGGTGAGGAGGGAAAGTGCAGAGCCTGAAACTCCAAGTTCTTGGAGAGTGCGAAGGAGGATCTGATGATTCACCGTGTAGAATGCAGCAGACAGGTTGTAGAGTTATATTTGTATTTATTCATGTTAGCAAACTATGGATAAGCTTAAAATGGGAATAATTTGGGTAAAACTGTGAGCTGGATATGGGGCCTGTTGACATGTGTTTTTGAGGACAAAGGAAGATGGGGGAAGGTGAGAGCATGTCCTGATTTGCATTCAACTTAGAACGAGCTACAGTGGTTGTGATATTAAGAGAGGTCCCTTGGGTTTCTCTGGTGGTTATCAATAGTAGCAGTTAAGTGAATACTGTTCAAACAATACCTGTGTTTGTGTTTTATATTGATTTCTCTGTTTTATCCTTTCATAAATGTAAGGACTACAAATGGCTATAAACATTCTGGGCTGGTTGGAGTAAACAGGGTTTTATTGCTCTGTGGGGGAGGTGTAGGTATGCAGGCCTTGAGACCTTTTGTTGTAAAGTGAGCCTGTTTGGTTTCCTGCTGGCCAGCGTTGCGTCTCCCAATGAGATGACCTGAAAAGATGACCAGCTGACCTAACACCAAACCCCTCCTTCTTACTCTGGTATATCTCCGGTGGATCCCTGGCGTTCGGTCTCTCTTCACATGCTGCCTCGAGCGAAAGGATGTCCGCAGCACGCGAACCAGGGAAGGAGTAAGCCGGCATTACTCCTTAAGCATTACAATATAACTGTAATATATCATGTTGTATTGTAATGATTGTATTGCATTGTCATATTGCCATTAAAGTAGATTATTGTTAACGGTTACTTTGTAGATATGGATTCCTTCCTGTATTATAACCAGCTTCATAGGAACGCGCGGAGATTTGAAAAGCGGACCAGTTATCCCTCCAAATCTCCAACAAGGTCCAGAAGGATGATGACAGAGGAGAGGGAGGCTACTACAGTCCAGCAGAGCATATATGAGTCATGCCTGGACATCTGCATCTTATAAAGGTCATCTCATCGAGGTGACATATTCTAGGACTCTCTCAGAAGCTGTAAGTTCAGCTGCTCACTGGGTCAGAAACATGTCCCAACATGTGGAGCTGAGGACACTGTGATTACAAAAGATAAGAAGGAGAGCTCAAACGGTTGCATTAATTCATCAGTGTATGTATGATGGTAATTGTTCCACACAGAGAAAATGAAGGTGGTTATTTGGATCATGAAGTGTTTTGATAGCCAAACATTAGTAAATCTGATCATAGCTCAAGATATTCATTTAGGAAAACAGTGTTTCTTTTTTATTTATCCTTATTTATTGTTTTATAATATTAGTTCCACTACAGTGGAACCAGCTCTCTCTACTCTCCGCTCAACCTTTCACCCTCGCCCACCCCCCTGGAGTTCGATGACCGCATGAAGGCGACACGCAGAGTTGGCAACATGTCCTTTGCAACACACTCTCACTCCCTAAGCGTCCAGGAGCGACATTTGGTCAGTGTCCGTGGCGTCCAGTTGTGACGCTCCTAGGCTCCTTCAGCGTCATAAAGGGACGCAAATAGCTTTCAACTGATTGCAATGTATTCCCATCTGCAGCAGGATTTGACGCTCATGGAAGCACGGCATTCGTTTGTGTCGGCTGCCCTTAAAGGCAATGTGAGCGTCCATTCCCATTGGATAACGGAGAATTGTACACCCGGAAGTAAGTATTCCTCTTACTGTCGATTGATTTTACAGTGATATCTGCACTACTCATCGACTAAAAAACACCAGATTATCCTTGTTAATTACATAACATTGATTGGTTTAAATTGTGTGCAATGCTTTTGTATTTTTCCCCTTCGATTCGGAGAAACAAATATTTTTTCGGAGTAAAGGATGGCAGAAGATACTACACTACCCAGAATCCCCAGCTATCGTTTGGACTACACCATGTGCTCTGTTTGACAAACCCCGTTTTTTTTCACCATTCATTCCAATGGCTGGCGTCTATGTCACGTGATCTTCAAATTTCTCCCTGCAGAAAAAAAAACATGGCCGAACTTCGTTTTATTCTCGGTGGAAAATGCCTATTTTAAAGTTAGTTTGGCCATTAAAATGCGTTTTGATGTCATTTGATGCGAGAAATATGAGTTGTTATTTCAGATTATGTGTGCAGTGGATGTACATGATCTTTAGTTTGCTAGTTATTACGAAGATTACTTCAGGAAATCGCGACGTTTTCATTGTTACCAAGGTGGTTGCTAGGGACGCTGCTATCGATATTATTTCTGTTATGTTGTGTAACTGTTTAATGGTGTTATCTTTATTGCTACCCCCTTCCCCGTCAACGTATAGTGTTGGTCCACGGCGCAAACATATTAGTTTAACAAAATCCGCATCTAAAGATAGCCTACGTTATTTTCCCCTGTGCAATTCCAGTCTCACATCTCAGAGCACATCGTCATTAACAAATACCGGAAACAGACCGAAAACATTTTAAAAAAATAAAATAATACTTTATTCCGAGTGTGCTTGCTTTTCTCTTTGAAAGTCATCACATAACGGCATTGTAATACACGGTTCGGCTGCATTAAATATTACATATCTGCCGTAGTTCTGTATTTATAGAGCCCTGATGAGAAGACTTCTAGACATACATGAGGAACTGAAAACGTGACGTGGATCATAAATATATCAGCCATTAAACAACATCTTACATTTCTTTTCAAACAATACGTCTCCTTGCAGTATCAACACTAATTCGGCTGACTTTTATATTTGATCCAATTGGTAGATAGGCTGTATTTACACCATAAAGGTGCACAGCTGATATAAAGGGACACCTAGTGGTTAAAGCATGTTATTGAATTTCATTATTTTTACATTACAT